TCAAATTTTTTAAGAGAGTCGCTAACATTTATATGTAATCCATCAAGATTAAACGATGTTTTTTGCGACCAGACGGTCAAAGATAAATCCTGTGAAAGACACCATCAACTTATGCTACGTTCCTACAGGCAGAACAGAAGGAGTGAGCCGGAATTGAGATATATATCGGCTGTTACAGTCGGTGAGGGTGGTAGCCTAACTAATCGCTTGCCACAAATTCAGGTGATAACGTATCCACAAAGAGTGTAGATATAATCATCCTCGGAGACCCAGGGGCAGCTAGTCGAGACGAAGCGATAGTTTCGGGACAACGCGATAATTTCGGGCGACAGATATGTTTACATCAAGAGTGAAAGTTCCCCTGAGCAGTTACTCTTACCGAACCAGTTCCAGAAGCGTTTGAATTCCTTCCCTCTGATTGGCCAAAAATATATTTTTCTGGCCACTCAGCAAGGAGGTTCTACCCAATCGACTTCGTACACGAAGTGGTTTTCCTCATCAATCGTCGTAGTTGCTTGGTCCGTACAGGGGAAAGATTTTTATGGAGAGTTTCAGAAAAATTAATAAATAAACGAAGCCGAGGAAATCGCAAAATGTCACTGTAACTCTCGATTTCTATGCGTGATAGTTGACGAGGGCTGCACCCTCGTCAACTATCACGTGATGGAAATCTCGAGCTTGTAATCTAATTGTTAACCATTTAAGGAATAGAAAACATATACCGTGTTTCTATGGAGTTTTAGAATAAATCTACAAGCGTTTTATATCACGAATGCCGTTAGCTGATTGGCTACGCTACTCACTATCTATTCTGTTGTAGACAGTGAGTAGCGTAGCGGTGTGCGCTTGTTATCGTGCTGGTGGCCCCTTCTTTGCGTTTTCGAGGTGTCTGTGAAGAGGATTTAGATAAAGTTTTGAACGACCTGTAGATTTATACTAAAACAATTAGATTATTCGCTCTCGATTTCTATAGAAATCTCGAGCTCATAATCTAATTGTTTATTAGTATAAATCTACTAGCGTTCTATCACGAATGCTGTTCTAAGATTGGTTATTACGCTATTCTGTTATAGATAGTAAGTAACGCAGCAGTGTGCGCTTGTTAACAAAATAACAACCCCTTCTTTGTGTTTTTGAGCTATCTGTGAGGAGGATTTAGGTGAAGTTTTGAACAACTAGTAGATTTATACTAAAAAAATTTGATTATTCGCTCTCGATTTCTTTCGCGCGATAGTCACGGTTGACTCGGGCTGCGCCTTCGTCAACTATCATGCGATAGCGATCGAGAGCGAATGATCTAATTATTTTCTAATGGTGTTATTGGTGTTTCCATGTTTTCAACTGGGAAATTACAGTTCGTTTATTGTTCTCAAGATTAAAAAGAAATTGAAATTGCTTTTAACCCCTGGTACCACCGTTAACTCTACCAAGAGTATTCCGTGCGAAAGAATCTCCGCGAGCAGAAAAGAAAAGCAAACAAATCAAACAACCGAATAAACAAACAAACGCACGCAAAAGAAAGAAAGACAAAGTTGGAAAAAATTAAGTTGGCAGGTCTGCACAACTGACTGTAAAGGACAATGCTTTACAGAGTGTGCGCTCCAGAAACAATCTGACCTTATTCTGACCTGAAGGCGCCTGTCCATAGAGTTTATATCTCAAGCGCTTGACGTATGCAAAAGTAATTAGAATGGTCTCCCACAAGCATACCCACGTCGCTAACTACAGACTTTTCTCTCGACGTCATGTGCCGTGAAATAAATACATTTCAAAATGAATGCCATGGCTGAAATATTCTATAAGTACGTTGCAATTTGGTTGAGGCTCAGTTACAAATTGACGAAGATATTAAGGACAGGAATACAAATAAGATTTTACAAATTTCGATGACAAGTTCATCTCTTAGGGCAATTTGTACCGCGAAAAATTTGTTTTGAGCTTATCAGCTTAGCTATCAGATTAAAGGTTTCCGACCTGGACCGCGTGCATTTTATATCTATCACCCTTTGCTATATTCCGTTACATGTTTTTCATTTTTACATCCCAACACAATCGTTGAAGTAATGTAAACACGTTTACTGCAACTATTATTTCAGCAAGTCCACTGTGACCTTCATATCGACCTTGTCTCATTCGCAGAGTCACAGCGGAGTGGTGAATAGTCACCGGCGCCGATCGCTCCTGGACCGGAACGTGCCCAAACGTCTGCCTTCATCATGAGAATATCAACTTGTTTGATCATCTTCCTTTACCTTGCTACACGGCTGACCCACTGTTTCTATATTGGAGATGGTAAGTATCACAACGTTTCTTGTGGCTTTAAAGACTTTAAAGCGTATTCAGCTAACTTCTTCGTGTACAGTAGTTATAATAGTTAGCAAGGGCACTTAATTGACAAAATTTCTTGGCAACTCGTGTAGTAGAGCTCTGGATACTTATTGATACAACAAATTCTCAGCAAAAGTGTTGCTGTTCATGATCTCATAGAGATAAAGTTCTTTAGAAAATCCACGACATCCGCTTTCAGTCATCACAAAACGAGTGTCTGTTTTTGAAATCGCCTCAAGTTCAAGAATTTAAGGTTTGACATTGACTTCATTGTAATGACTACAAATGTACAGCCCTCAGTCTCTTTAACCGTTAAGCCGTTTATCTACACACTTCAGTTATTTGAAAATGTTGTCGCATTATGTTCAGGCTCATTGCGTCAGATAAGGTGTGCATCTAATATTCAAATGCTGTTCTTATAGTTCTCTGTTCTGGAGGACTTGATAATGTGACATTCTAGAGTGGATTATAAATGCTGATCAATTGGTTCTCATTTCAAATCAGAAGTAGTAGGATTTCAGTGTTCACGGGAAACAATCTTATAAGCCACATATTGCACTCGAATAAACTTGTCACTTATTGAATATGAACGCTTATTGACCAATTTTAGATAACAAAATGAGAACATATCTTTAAGCGGATTAGTGTGTAGAAACTTGGCAGTGTTTTGATGACGGATCAGTTGAAAGGATGATCTTTCAATCTAGTTATAAATATGGAAATAACTCCTGCTGATAAGTATGTCAAAAAACAATTTTGTTTTGTAAAATATTACTGAGTTTATTTGCTATGACAAGACGATAAAGGATTGGTTCCGCACGTGTTGCGTAAAATAAACTGAAAATTATGCGGTGTTTTTTTTTTTTTTTTTTTTTTTTTTTTGAGTCATCCAGATTGCTGTTTCAAAACGTATCATATTATAAACATATGTCACGAGTTCTGGTGACCCTGTCGACCGTGAATTAAAATGGCCAGTGAAAACAGTTAAGACTGCGAGCAGTCTCGTTTTGCTCGGAAATCCGTGTGGGAAGAACGCAAAACAAGTGAGCGTGTGAGCGTGACTGCGACTTGCAGCTCGCGGCTTCGCATATCACGCTCGCACGCTCACGACCCGCCGCTCACTTGTGTTGCGTTCTTTTTTTCGTTCCCCCAGTCTAAAAACGGTTAAGCACAGTTTCTCTTGAAGTCTCGCCGGTAGTCACTATGACTGACCCTGCCTCTCGGAAATAGAGTATATAAATAAACTGAGTCATAAACGCAAGGTGGTAGACCCGTAGCCAGAATCTTTATAATTACCTTTTCGTGTTGGAACTCTCTGAGCTAGGGACTTGGCTGTATAGAGGAAATATGGTCGTGTGAGGTGAGGGTTGCATATATACTGTTCAATTATCTTATTGGACACGTCAGCCCTAGACTTCAGCCTCATTAGTGAAGATAACAGTCATGCGCGAAACCTCAAAAGCCAGTCCGATTCTCTTGATGGCAGATTAAACAATTTAAATTAGGTGAATGTATCATGATAAATAGGCCACCCGGCTATCACCATGTTCATGCATGTACTATGAATAATTTCGGTCTCAAATACAAAGTAACACTGATTGCATTCATTCTGAATAGGGCTGCAATCAGCCAGCTAAGAAGGCGACAGCACCGGTCCTGTCAGGACTGGCAGGGTTTTTTCTTTGCTCTTTGTTTAGTTTAACCTTTCTAGCATCAACCTGTAAAAATAGGATAGTGGTTATTGGTCTTGACGCTAAAATCGAGAGAATTTAAACTTGCTTTCTGGTTGCCATGAGTGATTGCTTTCTCCAGCATTTTATTCTTTGCTCAAGTTTTATTTGATATCTGCTCACAGGCGTTTCAGAGCAGAGGGTCGTACTGGCGGGGTCTCTGACACGGTTCACGGACGGAAAAAATAGCGAATCACGGATCACGGATATCAAAATTTCGTTTTCCCGAATCACGAAAATAAGCAAGTAGTATATTCTTTTTAATAACCTGCTTTTACACTAGAAAGTTCAAAGAAAGCAAAATCATGAAAGGCTAAGTCAAGGCTTCATAAAAATTCTTGTTTTTCGGCAATTTCAATTTCAGGAGAAAGTGAAAACAAACAGCGGTTCCACACATAACAAACAGGTTTCGCATGGTATTTTAAACTTGATGTTTCGTATGTTACAACATGCAGGACTCGCGTCTCAAAATCACGTAGAATAGAGTGGTAAAATCATGAATATCGGTTAATAATTCAAGTTCTTCACGGTCACGGATCACGAAGAATAATTTCTTAAATTCACGTTTCACAGAAAATAAAACCAGCTAATCACGCATCACGAGAATACCTCGTTAGGACCCTCAGAGCAGTTGACACTACTTAGTTGCGATATAACCGTAACGTTGAAAAAAGAAGCCAAATATTGGTTATGTATTTAACGAATTCTGACAAATTCCGCTGCACCCTCGGGTGAGTTCACTACCATAGTCGATGCGCATTATTGTTCAATATACATGTCACTGGAATACTTATACCCACTCGTCCCGCGTTGTACGCATTTGGCTTGATTTAAATCGGTTCTTCTGCTTGAAAAACTGCCTCTATAGAACTACATCAAGAAACATCGGACATCACCAGAGTCACGGTGAAAGCTGAAATTTACGCAATAGACGCCTAGAATGCTTGAAAATGCACAGATTTTTCTGTAGGGAATCCCATTCTATGCTGTCCGCGGAGGGTTCGTCGACCTGTCAATCTCAAAAGAAAAGAACATGGCTCGTGAATTTATGACGTCCCTTGTCCGCTCTTTGCATTCGCCATGAAAAACAATGCCTTAGGACTTATGAAACAGTCTCAAATATTTTTGTCCCATCCGTAGCTAGTCATGGGGTGTATTTCGACTGGGACTATTACACAAGGACAAAATAGCGATATCGACTGGAAGGGAATAGAAAGACCGATTCTTTGAACCTTTGAACTCGAACTAAAACTGCAATTTTACTCCCTATATCTCGAACTCGATCTAAATTCTCAGACCAATGGTCCTTTCAGCCTTGGAGGTACGAGACATTGGAATTTCATTATTACATATCAAACCCGCGTAATCAGGCTTATCAGGCCAATTATAGTTTGAAAACAGGTGGTGAAAAGACGCCGAACTGTCAATCACAAACGTAATTAATTGGCAACAGTTCACTTACCTTTTTTTGTAAATTTGTTCTGACGTTTTCTTTTCTATTCTCAAAAGTATGACGTATTTATTCCTTTTTCGTCATGACCAGTCTAAGCTACTTTTGTTAACAACTTATCCTTAGTTTGATTAGTTTGTTCTTATCGACCAATCAGATTGCAGTTTTGGATTAAACAGAAGCAAAGGTCAACACTGACGTCTCAGGCTGACTTAACAATTAAAATAGGTTGCTTTTAACGACCAAAAATTCTCAAGTACACGAGTAAGGTTAATTAAACTCAAAATGCCGAACAATTTTGGACGCTATGAAAATTCCATTGTGCTCTGATGATACGTCAAGATTGGAACTTTTTAAGTGATAAAAAATTGTTTGATTGAATAAATCTTGAGGGCATAATTAGATCAAAGGCACTTCAGCGTTTCCAGTGTGATAAGGAATTTAGCCCGCGTTTAGAAAAGTAAATAAGTTTTGTATATACTGCAAATACAGGTTCGAAGTTTAGAAATATGTGAAAATGGCCGGTTCAACTGAAACGTGTTTTCTCGTTCACTGTCTTTCGTGGATCATCTTGTTGACACTTTATGGTGTGCTATCAAAAGGTTGGTCAGTAGTTGATATTTTCACCATATGCTGTAATTTTTGTGTGATAACAACAAGGTTAAATGTCATTGTTTGTCTTACATCGTTGCAGTTTGCCCAGTATCATCTTGTGTAAGAATTTAGTTCTATAAATAGTCCAATATCGAGTCATTTTGATCTTGTGATTATAAGTTCTAATCGACCAAACCTTGGAATAAGCGCTTACCTTGGTACATTTGGTTTAATCTGTTATTCAACCAAATCAATGAACTTTGTTGTCAGAAACTTTGTGGCCGAACTTGTTTACTCATTCAGGTTATTTGCACCTAGCTTAGTCACAATTTTTTCAGTCACTCCTTTCAGAATGAAAACCACGTGTTAATATCACATAATCTTCTCCACGAGCGAATAACAGGCTCATCATAAAATAACAACAACATATAGAACATTTCTTCCTTTGGAAATCGAGTTCAGCCTAGTTACTTTAACAGCAGTTTCTAAATATTTTGCAATCCTTTATGAATATTTCATGATTGTGGCCTTCATTTGTGGACAAGCATGGGGCAGAATTTATACAGCAGTAATTCTATGGGTTAGATGTCAAATTATATGTCTTTAAATTGCGATTTTTGGTTGTTCTAATTGAGTTTGCTTTCCAAACATTTGCTTGTTAACCGAGCAAGTCAAAGTCCTTGAGAAAAATTTTCATGTGTATGATGGATGTAAACAAGGACTACACAGGCTTCACTGTACATCTGCGTCTCCAAATCAGATCAACCTGAGATGCTTTAATTGTACACGGACTATTTACTATTATACTATTCTATTTCCCTCAGTACATGAAATATTTCATCAGCAAGAAATAATGATCAATTCAAATCAATCTCTGATTCGAAATATATCCTCATCTGGTCCAGTTTATTCGAGTGCCATCCATTACACAAATCACTATCCAGCAGAAAGCGAAATTTTTTTCACCAACACTTATCCACTGGATAGCGATTTATCCGGTAGATAGCTTCATCCACGGCCCTTTCAACGACTGAGCCCTGATTATAAACCTTAAACCAGTAAGTGGCAATGAAACAAAACGGTAAGCAGCATCTGAAGTACCTACAAACAGGAAGGTAGGTTAGAAACTTTGCTTGTAGGATTTGTTCTGATTAGTGTATTATACTTACAGATTGCCAAAAGCCACTTGGACTAGCAGATGGACGAATCAATGACAGTCAGATAATCGCTAACTCAGTGTATCAAAACAACTACGCATTGTACGGCCCCGGTCGCGCGAGACTGAACGGCACTGGCGGCTACCGTGCTCAGCCTAAGCTTAATGACTCATCCCTGACAGTGAACTTTGAGCAGCCTATGATTATAACTGGAGTGGCAACTCAAGGCTACTTTGGTGGAAATGTACAGGAGTGGACAAAATCATATCATTTAGGATATGTGTTTGGATCGTATACGTTTTTCTTCAAAGAGAAAAACAGAGATGTTGCTAAGGTAACCGCGGCAAATAAATCCTTAAGTTTTGTATTAGGTATCCTTGTGCGTACGGGTATCAATGCTTAAGAATTACACTTCACATTTGATGAATTACATTTCATTCATTCATTCATTCATTCATTCACTCACTCACTCACTCACTCACTCACTCACTCACTCACTTATTCATTCATTCATTCATGCTTTCATTCATGCTTTCATTCATGCTTTCATTCATTCTTTCTCTCAAGCTATTTATTTTAATTCTAATTGTTTAGAGTTAGACCTTACTCAGAGAAGGAATACACATTCAATTATTGTAGCCGAAGCAAAAAAAATCCTGAAAAATAAAGGCGCTCGACGTCTTTGGAAACATAAATGGTCCTTACTGATCTGTTAACTAATTTTATGTCCTAGTGAGGACCCAGGGAAAATATTATTCCACTGCGGAAATTGAGCGATTTAATTGAAAGCAGCATCTTACACTGATGTATCTCATATTTGGTTTGCAGCAATTTCAGGGAAACCTTGACAATAACACTGTTGTACGTCATTACGTTCCAAGGCCAGCCATGGTAAAATCTGTTCACATTATTCCTATTGAGTGGGAGACAAACTTTGCCATCCGGCTTGAATTGTATGGATGCATTGCTGGTGGGTATGGTCAAGATATTAAAAGTATATCCTCAGTGAAGGGTGCGGGGTTACTCAAGGTGGTTGCAAACTAGGGGTATTAGCGCCTTCCGTTTCATATTACACACATTGAATTGTTTTCTGGGCGAGGAAGAAACTCGTTAGTAACGTGTAAGTATGCAATTGCACGAATAGCTGTATGCAGGTACTTATTCCTTACCTGAGAAAGAGATACAGAGGTTAATCGAAGAAACACTCAGTTTGCCGACACTGGCGCTCGATGTGTAATGTAGGAACAACAAGAGAAAGCTTTCTGCATATGCTCTTCTTTACCGTATTTTAATTGAAGCGTCGAGTGTCAGAGAAAAGTTACTCCCTACACTCTGGTTTTTTGATCTAACCCGGCGTCTAGTGTCAGAGAACTTGCTACAGATACTATCGTGTAATGTATCTTGTTTTAACCGTTAAGTATAAGAAAAATACCGTAACTTGCTGCATATACTCCTCTTCAATACATAGTATTTTGTTCAAAACGCTACGTGCAATTATTTTAGATGGCAATGAATGTGAAAGCTTTCCATGTCAGAACAATGGTACTTGCTGGGAGAAAATCCGAGGATACCAATGTAACTGTTCGACAGGATTCAATGGCACGCACTGTGAAATAAGTGAGTAAAAAAGCTCAGCTTCCCTGCATCACTTTAAGTCACTTTATTCCATATTACCTAAAATCTTTTATGGCTCCATTTCCTTTTATGTAGTCTGTGGACACGATCACCTCATTAGTGTTTTTAAGCGGCCTCAATTCAGTGTTGTCTTTCAGCTCCGTCAGTCTAATGATAAAAAACTATATTTTTTAAATGACACTTTTTCTTCGACTTTAACTCCAATTACAGCAATGCGTTTTAACTATTTCCCCCGTAACTTCCTGTTTGTTTAAAAGAGAACCGAATGACACAGAACACTAGCTCCTCTTTATAGAAATAGTACGGTCTACTTATGAAAAAGCCGCACCACTATAACCTCGTCCCCCGAGTAGTGAGTTTTACTACCTCTTATTTCCGTAGACATTGATGATTGTGCCAGTAATCCATGTCAGAATGGTGGGAGTTGCATAGACCTGGTGAATGATTTTAAATGCACTGGTTGTATGTCTGGGTACACTGGAAAGAAATGCGATGAAGGTTTGTCGATTAGTTTATTACAATATGAATCTGACCACCATTCGGAATCGTCTGGATGGAGTTTAAGTGATAGTTGAGAATTGGTAACATTTTGTTTTAGAGCTGAGATCTCAGATCTTTGGATTTGCAAAGTTCACAGATAGCTGAGAAAAAGAAAAACAAATTATTTAAGATTTCAGCATATAGCCCCATCCTAGACTCTCTTCTCACTGCGAAGTGTGAATCACACCTAAAATGCCCAACCACATTTACAGGAAACCAGTGGGTATAGGAGAATCTTTGTTTACAATATTTGCCTCATTACCATAAGTGGTACAGTTTCTAATGAAGCTACAAAAACATTAATTCTGAATATCAAAAGTGCAAAGCACGTTTAACTGTCCCAAGGAATTTGAGCCCGATGTACTGAATACTTTTTGTGGGACGCGGGTTTAAAAACTCAAAATGTTACAAAGAATGTATGAGCTCAATAGTGCTTTTCATGTGCCACTCAAAAATTTTGCAATTTTTGAAAGCCAATTTCTCCTTGAATAGTAAACCCAAAGAGCCCAAAATTTCATCAAATGCTAAGTTTCACAAACTCTTTGAATGTTTGTAGTCAATTTGTGTCTAGCGTGATGCCTTCTATGCGCAAAGTCGTATGTTAATGAGCAAAAATGTCAACAATGACGTCAGCAAAGATTCGCCCATTAAAGGTACAGGGGCTCTTGCATCATCCGGGATGTTTGCCCGAGTGTGCATGAGTAGCAGCTATTTATTGGTCTGCTTATAGAGAGGACACCAGCCCAATATGCATGCAGAGCTCACAGCTGGTCCTGGATGTGTCCGCCTTGATTGGGGAAAGCTGAATAGCCCAGTTAATAATTCTACCACTAAAAATGATATTCTAAAACGTTTATATCTCAGAAATAGATGAATGTGCAACAGATCCTTGCTTGAACAATGGCACTTGCATAGACTTGTTCAACAGCTATTTTTGCAATTGTTTCGCTGGATACAATGGATCACGCTGTGAAATAGGTATATCAGAATTAGATAGTATCAAGAGAAAACGTGTTAGTTAAACGATCCGGGCAATGCGTTTAGAGTTTCATGTTTTATTTTCGATTTTCATTTTCGTGTTAATAACATTTCAAGAGCGAACCCACCACAAGTTGTGATTCTTAATAGTTTATGTTATATTTGAAATATTTGTTTATTTATTTACAGTGTCCCCAATTAGCACATTAGTGCTAAATACATCGACACTTAAATTAAAATGATTATTATTATTATATTATTAAGTTCGAGTAACAAGCAGACAAAAACTTTGTAGGAGGCTCGTTTCAGAATATCGAAGGGTTATTTACATGGTATTGTAAACTTATTTACTCTCTGTTTTATATATCTTCTCAAAAGAAATCAATTCTAATAACACCAAATGTGGAAAACAAATTTTTAAGTTCATATGAAACGCTTGAAAGTACTGATGAAATGAAACTGATGATGAAATTTTACCGCTGTGACTGCACAATTTCTCTGAACTTTGAAATTTATCTTCTCGAGTTCTCATGAGAAATTGTTTTTGGTGTTATGTTAGGCAACTATTTATGTCTTCAGCTTTTAGAAAATACAAAAAGGACTGTAATATACTTAAATTTGTTCTGGTACAAGGTTTTTGTCCATTAAAAACTGGAATTGCTCGATTTCCTATCGGATTTCGTCTTAATACACTCTAAAGAGGGTAGCATCGCGCCAACTCGTTGTTAATTAATTAGGCTAGCCCTCTAAATACTGCTATTTTCTAATTTTCTTTCAAAACGCTTTATATAAAACTGAGAGGAAAACGCTTGTTAAATCAACGAGAAATAAAAGAATAACCCAGAAAAAAGACTTGGAGTAAACAAAAAATACTTTCCGTATTCTACATATGCGTTTTATTCTTATATTTTTGACTTTTCACAATGCAAATTAATTGTAATATCAACCTGGGTCCATGTTTCTGTTAGTTCCACCATAAGTTCACAACAAAATGAAAATGATGCTACTATTTAGTAGCCGAGTGCAATTTTGTAACAGTCTTTTAAAAGCTTTGGACCATAATGTCAAATATCATCCAATAAAGTTATTATTATAAGTGATTACTGTTATTATTTTATAAAAATCCACATAATAGGAAAGTAGTAAACCCAAATGATTTTTATTCTTTGCCAGATATCAATGAATGCGACCCTAACCCTTGCGTTAATGGAACATGTGTTGATCTCATAAATGACTTCAGCTGTAACTGCACTCCTGGTTTTACTGGGAAGCACTGTGACATTGGTAAGTGAACTAATTGAGTGTTATTATTACCATGTGAATTTCCATGGCATTTCTTCCACTTGCTATTGCTAACAATTCTATAGCGTGTTATATTCAACCTAGTTTATTTGTTGTTTTTAGAGATTAATGAATGTTCAATCAACCCTTGTCAACATGGTGGAACTTGTACAGATCTTATTAACGGATTTAGATGTAGTTGTTCTTTGGGATTTGGAGGACCTACATGCCGGGAAGGTGAGTGAAAAGTTGTTCGTTATTTCCTTCCTTCATTCCTCCAGTCAGTCAGTCAGCGAGTCCGTCAGTCCGTCAGTCCGTCAGTCCGTCAGTCCGTCAGTCCGTCAGTCCGTCAGTCCGTCGGTCCGTCGGTCCGTCAGTCCGTCGGTCCGTCAGTCGTCAGTCCGTCAATCCTTCAGTCCGTCAGTCCGTCCGTCCGTCCCTCAGTCCCTCAGTCCCTCAGTCCCTCAGTCCCTCAGTCCCTCAGTCCCTCAGTCCGTCAATCAATCAGTCAGTCAATAAGTCAGTCAGTCTCTCAGTTGGTCTGTATTAACAGCATTATTTTCCTATGATGTTGCTATTTTTTTCCTTTTGAAGTTCATTTGCAAGTTCATACATGTACAATAGCTGTTTAATTTACTTAATTCCTTAAGAAGTTTCCATTATTGATGACCTTGTATGCTTTCAAGATACGGGATTCTTCCTAGTGATGTGGCTTAAGCTGAAGAACATGACATTCACACTTCCTCTTATGAACGAAAGTTCCTCTCTATACCAGAAGACACGAGATGATGTCATAAATGAGGTATGCAATAACGGGCAGTGCTAACATAACTTTGAAAAATGGGCAAAAATCTTAGCAAAGATTCTTCAAATGTAAGGCACTAATGAACAATTAATGGTTCCCAAATGTCTCGAAATATGCACGGACACTTTTTCTCGGAAATGTATGTAACTGTTTACGACTGCCAGACATATACATGCCAACCGTTTTCCATTCACTTTTTAGGTGGATAACCACTTGCTGTTTGCTGAGAAAGATCAATTCTTTGGTTCAGCGTTACGAATGTTCAGGTAACTGAGTTGCCTAGCAGATGGGAAACCTTGTGTATATATTAATGCGTGATAATCTGATAAAGAAACGTGAAGTTTCGTGATAAAAAAGTTTTTCGAGATAATTAGCCTTGAATCTCAACAAAAATGCTGACATCAGCATTTTTCTGGTAAAAGGAGGAAAGGATATTTGTTCACAGATTTTCTTAGAATTCGCCTTTTCATACAGAAAAGCAAACACATTGATAAAGATTTTAAAACTACATGGTAAATAGTAACATAGAAACCATTTTTGGTTTATTTTAAATTTTAATAACAAATCGTTGCAACAGCACTTTTTGTGTCTCTGACAGCCTTCCTCTGGGTTCAGCTAAAATACAGTCTAAATACCTTTTGCTCACAACCAGAAACTAATCACGTGTTGAATAGGCTTCCCATTTTCATTTTATAACATAAAATGTAGGGGTAATTGCGCGTTTTATAAAGGTACTGATCTTTTTTGAAAATTTTTACGGTGCCCGTTACATTTTTTCCTGTCACGTCCCCAGTAAGTAAAACATTTTCCTATCTCGCACTTGTTTTGCGCGCGCACTACGTCATCTGCAGGTTCAAGTTTAAAGTTGGATTTCAGTACAATTTTCGACAGATAACAGGTAGTTTTTCATCTGGAAGACGTAAACAGTTAGTGGTTATCGATATGCTGCTATTCTAGTGTTCCTGGTTTAAGTACAGGTTCATTAAACTTGATTTGGTCACAGTAGAAAAGTTTTGCTTTCATTTTAGTAGTGTACTTGGTAGCGTGCTTAATCCACCGTAGGAAAAAAGATGGCGGCTGTACATTTCACCACAATGCCCTGCGAGCCTACCACAGCCTATAAGGCCCAAGGAAAGCCAATTTCTTTTACAGTATTCGTCCCTATTCCAAGGACATTAAGTAGCCTAGGTTTGAAGATTTTATAGCGTTTCTGTACGTTTTTATGAACGTTGTTAAGGTTTTCGTGCGCTAAGAACTATGGGTAAATGTACCTGTCGCCATCTTTTTTCCTACGGAGGATTGCGTCAATGTCAACCCCAGCGCGCGCGTGGTGCTTAAACCATACCTTGCGTGATGCGCAGAACGAGTGCGCACCAACAAAAGTTGGCACCGTCCTTAAGTTCAACACGCTACTGCATGAAGGTCTACATAATGCCAGTGGAAACAGTATAATTGAAAACCAAACTCTCTCCAAACTCGTTTTTCTCTTGTCTATTGTTCTGAGAGAAAGAAATTATTTGAACAATTCTGCGAATCCTAATGGGCAAGAGATAACTCAGAGAATAGTCTTTTATTCAACGACTCTTTGTTTTAGCTCAGTATAAGGCGTCACCAGCATTAATTTTTGTTCCTTTACCTCATAGTCCATCAGGAAGGAATTTAGAAGTGATCGCAGAAATTCTTCTCAGGACTCTTATGAACAGCACAAATCATATCATGAACGTTGTCACCCAAAAGTTGAAGTCTCATTCGGGGATCTTTCATAGCAATTACAAGGCTTTTGGAAACCGAGGTAATTAAGCTACGTTCAGAAGTGTAGTAACTTGTAATTGAAACGAATTGCAGTATTGCTAGCTGTGAGTAATCAATTTTATTGGTTTCAGTGGTTTTGCGTGTACATCTAGATCTTGACAATTATGAAACTTATTTACCAGATACCTCTACCCTAACCCTGACCCTCAAATCATGCATTGCTTGTGGATAGTTAGACTATTAACTAATGTTAGGGTAGAGATATCATGACTTTAGTAGCTATTTCGATAGTGTCACTTCCTCTCTATTCAATCTAGCTTAAGTTAAAGAAATTCATGCTTTGATGACCTAAAACAATGCAAACCAACTTAAGATACACCCAAACAGGATGCATGGGTCAAAACTTTCATGCGAAAATCCATCAGAATGTAGTATAGCAAAAATAATGACGCAAAGTGAAAAACCAGGCTTGAAAAATAACGAGGGTCAAAAAGAAGAAATAGAAATCAATGCAAAGAACAATTTACATGATGCTAAAACAACAACAACAACAACAAAATTAAAATCACTTGTATCCTTTATAACGTGCTTTAAAGGTTGGATCATATTTCTAAATTTTCAAGGTCGGTTTCTTGCAAGAAGATATGAAACGAAAACGACAACCCGGCATAGCCCTCTCCAGTCAGCTATGCTTGTAATTCACGTGCTGCCATAAAAAAAAAAAGATTGTCCAAAGGCTAATCAGAACTAATTGCAGTTAACAACATTGCTGTGAACATAAAGTCTACTGCATCTGCTAAGTGCATATAGTTAACGATGTTAATGTGACTGCAGCCTTCCTCAGATTTTTCCCAACGAAGGCTTCCAAGTTAGCCACAACACGCTGGTACTTTGTTGATTTTGAAATTAAGCCAGAGCCAATATCACATATGGCATACTCACTGGCTACTCCCTGCTCGTATTTATTTGCCATTAATGGCTCGATTTTCTTCTTAAATATTTTTTCAGGTAATCCTATTTGCAGCCCGCCAAACATTTCGCTTCCCCTCTCCACCGATGTCACAAAAGCAACTAAAATGAAAAAATCAGAGGACTTTGTTTTTCTGGTGGAAGTAGCCATAAATTGCCGCATCACTGGCCAACATCACATGTTATACAACAGTGAGACGTTCGCCATCGATCTGATATCAGGGTCTTTACGCCGTTTAGCAATCCGAATAGGGACGACTGTTGCTGACATCAAAACGACCATCCGGGGCAGCGAATATGATTACGGTCATTACCTGTTCAGGATTAGTGGGAATATCGAAAGACAAACTGCGACGATGACCAGCAGCTTTGGTTACATAGAGGTGACGTCGACTAATCTAGTAGCAAATATCACAGGTGCAAACGAAGCCTCTCAAGGCCTTAATGAGACACTGATTCTCAATGGAACATTGTCGCATGACCCGGATGTTGGGCTAGGTAAATACACTGGGCTCGAATTTACGTGGCTTTGTAGAAGAAACAACGAGAAATTCCCGAATAATATCACAGCGCTTCCTTACGTGTTTCCTCAGTCCGGGTCAACAAGTCTGCTGGGGCAAGATGAAGGAGGTTGTTATGGAACTGGAATGGGAAAGTTGAAACCTCGGGATGCCATGGCGTACATTATTGGTCTTAATGTGGACAAAATGAAAGGAGACGAGGATTACGTTATCAAGCTGATAATGAGAAAGAGGGGACTAACAGCTTATGCTGTACATCATGTGCGGATTAAAGAGGAGATCAATTTAAAAATAGTGTGAGTTTTCGCCTTTGTCGTTCAACTATTAGTGGTTCTAAATTCCTATGGCCTAGATGAGTGACTTAGAACTGTGAAAAGTCGGAAAACAGGAACGTGTCCCTAAAAAGCGATGTGAGTTTAGCTGTAAAATGGATTCCCTGTACAGTAAATTGGTTCTCTGTACAGTAAATTGGTTCCCTGTTCAGCAAATTGGTGTCCTGTTCAGTAAATTCGTTCCCTTTTCAGTAAATGGGTTCCCTGCTCAGTCTATTGGCTTGACACAATCATTTAACATTAGTCGGTTGAATCAGCTCAGTCCACCCAAGAAGATTATTTTTTTCCATGCTGTCCGTAGTAGTTAATGTTTTTTTTTCTTCTTTTCTTCAAAGCTGTACTCAAAACTGTGAACGTCACGTCATCCTGTCGTCGAGGCTCATTCTGGAAACACGTTGCACTGGGCTACTGTGCGGCAAGATCGATTTATACACTTGGTCGGTAAGATATCGGGAAAAAGATGACCCACGCTGGCAGGAAATAACCAACCTGGATGAAATAGTGCTCACATACATGAATTCTCCCAACTTAGTCACGGAGCAAAGCAAATTACGCGGCAATGCAACTTATCAAGTCACAGTAAGCGGCGAAACCTCACAAGGGCATAACTCCATTGGGACCTATTCGTTCGTCACGAATTCGCCCCCAAGCGGTGGTATATGCAGAGCTGACAAACCTCAGGGAAAGGCCTGGGAAACAAACTTCGTGATCAGCTGTATCGGTTGGAAAGACGATAACCTTCCGCTCAAATTCCAGTTTAGTTACAACACCAGTGATGGCATTGAAATGATTTTCCAGTCTGGGAATTCAAGTACAGCTACAGGAAAATTACCAGTTGGAGATTCCAACATGGATTACAAACTAGACATAAGAATCCTAGTTATTGATGCACTCGGTTCTTCAGTGGATAAGTGGATTAATTTAAAAGTGAGTGTAATTCTCAGGTTTATTTATCTTTTTTTTTTTTCCATCTCTTGTTTGATTCACAGGACTGTAATGCGTAATACGACTTTGAGCTTTTAGTTTCCTGTAGACGAAAACAATGAGTTGCAAGGATTGCTAACGAAATAATTCGACACCAGCAACAACAACAAACCAGAATAAGTAGAAGAAAACGCAATTACTAAAACAAAATAAACGAAACAATCAACAAACAAAGAAACAACGAGAGAAAACACAAAGGCGGGAATTTTTTTTGTTTCTCTACATATTTTTCAAACAAAGCCGATTATCTTTGTTTCTATGTGATTGGTTCATATAAGTATATAAGTGTAATCGTTGTAGGTTACTGAACCGGAAATAAGCATCGAAAGACTGAGGAAGGACGTATCCGAAGATGGACCAATGAACGAATATCTAAAAGACAACAACATCGAAATGGCGGCCCAAAGTGCCACTTCTGTGCTGTCAGTTGTGAATCACGCCCCCATTAGAAACATAAAGCTTAAAGACAAGATAAAGGTACGAATAACTGTTTTATTGTAGTCTCAATAAACTGAATGAAAATTCAGTTTTTTGATAGTTATTATTATAGTTTCAGATTAGGTGTCCCCAGATAACAGGGACTCCAGCTTCGCCTATGTTTTTTTTATAAACACAAAAATAAAAGAACATTAAGCATAAACGAATACGTTGGAGAAGATCGTTCGTACCTAGAAAACATTGTTCATCGTTCGAACGTGGGAGTTTATTCTCCAAATTCGTTTAGCGCCGAAAGAGATTCAGTTAGAGGGTAATAAAGTGTTTTTTGGTGTTCAGCAAGTTCCCAAAAGAGTTGAATCCATAAAGTTTTTAAACTATATGACATAGACATCGATATATGGTATATCGCTAGATATTCTCCAGTTATTACCATATCGGCTTTAAGCGCATTACAAATGAACCTTGAGAATAACATCACTATTGAGACTTTCTCTTTCTTTCCTTCTTGTAGATCAAAGATTCTATTGTTGACGCGTGGTCAGCGGTAAACGTTTCCGACTTGCAGCAAGTGTCCCAGGTGTCAGCGGTTGTTGCTAGCGTGGCGGACAAAAGAAACGAACTTTCAATTGAGTCCCAGGTTAGATTTGTTTATAGATCTCAGTACAACTGCTAAGCGCCAAACATGCGGTATTATCTTGATTACTATCTAGCCCTATCTTTTTAAGTGTCTCTTTTTTTCCCCTATAACTTCCAAAATTTCGACTATCAGGGACACGACGTAGGCCCAAATATCTGCACCGTGTTTCAAAAAATCTTCAGGTTCCTTGTTCTCTACCAGCAGTTACATACAAATTTGCCAAGAATCACCGTTCCCCTGTCTCAACTACTGGCTCCCTATCCCCAGGACTTGAACAAATATTCTCCTAAGGTGGATCATTTGCAACGTCAGAGACAGAAAATATTCACCCGATTTATCATCTAATTAGTTTACAAACTACGCAGATGATAGTCTAATCACGTCTAGAAAACAGCGTGCTAAGGTCATGTAGTGATGGTACTGACGATATGACTAACAGTGCAAGCTGTTCATTTGGCTCAACAGGAAAAAGCAGTCGTTATTCTGGATTCCATGGCCGATTTTATGAACCAACAGGTAAACAACAAATCAAACTACGTCTCTGAGGAACTTGTTGAACATGTTGGCACATCGCTGTTGAATGGTTTGGGAAACTTATTGGAAATTACTTCTCATGAAGCCAAAGAGGACATCAGTGGAGAGGAGATGCCACCCGTTATAATAACCAATGAACGGAGACAAAAGGTAAAATCAGCGATCTAATTGAAATAGACCCCGGGGGTACTTCCAGAAAAGTTGGGTGGGGGTGTGCGGCCCACTTCCCAAAACCCTTACCCTATTTAAGAACAAAATCTGCATTTTTTGCTACCCTATTTATGACCGTTGCGGCTGACACAGTTGCTCCAAACATAAGTTATGAAGGGCTTTTGCTGACGGTCTTGTTGATAATGATGAAAAAGTAGCTTCTTCTAAGAAACATACCCAATTCAAGACTAGAGTGCTAAAACCATACCCTATAAAACAAACCCCGGGAAATACACAAGTTCGATGATTTTTGTTCCATTGTCTTGCTGTCCAGCGATTGTTTGATGATTCGATAAGGATTTCACAAAACTGATTACTTATAAATTATAAAGTGTATTAAAGTTTTCATCGAGAATTTAAGGGATGTGGCTGTGCTTTTACGTGTTCATTCACTTTTTTTAGTTGCCCTTTTCCAATTTGTCCAACAAGTAAAGGTATGCAAAGCTTTGAGTACGTAAGTTCTTTTTCTAATATTACAGACCTTACAAGACAGTTTTTGCGAAGTAGTAATGGAACTGCCGGGAAGGGCGCCAATAAATAACTATGGAGATTGTTATGATTAGTTCGATGTGTGTCCCCAACTTTTGACACTTGCTGGGTTGCGACCTCTCTCCCGCGTCATATATATGTGGGCAAGGTTTATCGTTTGATTCATTTTCCTCTGTTTTTCCCCAGAGCCAATCGTTCACTAAAGAAATCCTTCGTCTTGTTAACCGTGTTGGCAATAATGTGGACCACACAAAAGAGCTGTATGAAAGACCTAGCGTGCTTAAAACCAGGTCCCTGTCTATGGTGCTTGACCGTCAAGTTCCCTCGAGAATAGGAAACAAGGCTTTAGAATACCAGGGCTCCAAAGTTACACTTCCATCTCCTCAAGAGCTGATAGGAGACGATGGCAAAAACCAGGAATATCTTTCCACTCAGGTTCGTTTGACTGGAACTTTTTTTTGTTTTGAAGACTGGAAAAGAATGGAATATGACGAATCACGCAAGAAAATAAAACAAAGAAAGCACAGTCAACGCCTATAAACCGAGTCACGATTAGTTTTCGTTATTTTTTTGTTGAGGCAGAATTGGCAGCCAAATAATTCCCATTGTCACTTTGTTTGTGAATAGATTTCTTGTATCCATTCTTTCAGCAATTGAACTTTAAAAATTTAACTCTAGTGACTTCTGAGCAGAGAATCTCTTTTTCGAGGTGGCAGCCAGAGTATTCGAAATAATCTTTGATGGATATTACTAATAAACTTAGTGATCGAACAAACAAATAGCCAAATCACCAACTAAACAACAAGTAATCTTCACAAGAGTGCCATGAAACTAATAACTCCGACACTGAGTGGTCGCCATGGTTACCCTGCTTCGTGATTCTCACTCACATTTTGTTATTTCTTTTTCTTTTAATTCTTTTTTTAGCTTCTAACGTTCAGGTCGAATCCTTATACTTGGGACAAGGGTGCCAGCGACATTAAATCTTCTGTCCTTGACTTTGAGCTTAAAGACGAGAGTGGCAACCCATTGAATGTCTCAAACCTCTCTCAGGAGATTGAACTCTTCATTGCGCCACTGGAGAAACCTCATCTTAAAGAGCCTCAGAGATATTTCGTGAAACCGAGCGACAATGGGACTATGCAATTTCACAAGATTGTGTTTCCTGGCCCCGAATACGCTATATCGATCAGAATCGTGCCTTTTAGCAACGTAACTCTCACTCTGTACGTACGATATGCGGAGAGGCCAACTCTGGAACTTAACGACTTTACTTCTTCCATTCCGAATAATAGGTCTTGCAGCCTGTATTCCTTGGAAAAGAATACCACAAACTGCAGCACGGACCCTTTCACGGTAACTCTTTCAGCCGCTGTCACTGGTCATACGGGAGTTCACTATGTGGGTATTGTAATTGGAGAGCATGTCAATAAAACAAGTAACAATGGAACCTCACCAGATCACGTGAGACGAGTTAGGAGAGGATGCTTCCGCAACGGACGTCAAAAGAGATCTTGTGTCGGCGTCAAAGATCCCCCAACCACTCCTCCCCCAATACTACTTATCAAACCTTCTTTCAACTCAAGTACAGATGTCAATTATACATTGTCTGTATCCATGGCCACATGTCAATATTGGAATGTAACAGCAGATGCTTGGTCAACGGAGGGATGCAGGGTATGTTCAAGGTTCTCGCTACAGGCATCAAATAATAGTTTAAATAACAGATGAAATTGAAAAGATATATTAAGCAATTAGATTATGAGCTCGAGATTTCTATCGCGTGATAGTTGACGAGTGTGCAGCCCGAGTCAACTATCAGTATCACGCATAGAAATCGAGAGCGAATAATCTAATTGTTTTAGTATAAATATTCTAGTCGCTCAAAACCTTATCTAAATCTTCTTCACTGACATTTCGAAAATGCGAAGAAGCGGCCGTCATTTTGTTAAAAGCGCACGCTGCCACGCTGCTCACTATCTATCACAGATTATATAATAACCCAAGTTATTCTCGCATTTTGATTGGTTCTCGCCTATGATCTATTAGAGGACAGACGCACGATTGACGTCATCATTACAAAGTTTTTCCTTCCGTGTTTAAAAATGGCGGAAAGTTTTGAGAATT